ACTAATTCTTCTCTTAAATAACTACAATATTTTGAGAATTATACCACCTCTAATATCCTCAATTTTGTTACTGCAGCATCAATAAGTTCTTCCTCAATAACAATACAACAGGGCATATAAARCAGTTTCTGATTGGCTCTCATTTTGCTTGATTCTAACACAAGTCATGATTGGTTAATTGGTCATTAGGTCATCAAACTTCACAAGTTTTGCTTGAATGYAAGAAAGTAAGSATGTAAGGTGCATGTGTAACCAAAATAATATAATGGGTAGTTCTAGAAAATTAGRAAATTCCGAAATTGCGAATCCCCCTCCCCTAAGGAATTCCAAAACCGTGTTTTCCCCTTCCTAGGAAATTAGTTTGCCCCCTTGGAAATGAATGAGAATAAATATTTTCTTCAAAACAAGCACTGTTTTAGAGAATKCAACYGTTAAACTGATGGTTAGAAAAACAATGCATCATCTAGACTCGTGGAAGTGTTTAAAAGTGTTTTACACTTTCAGTGTACGTAAGTCCCAGTTAAATATTGTTTTCTATAATTTGTCTATAAGTCCCTCCCTCCTTTGGATTTCTGAAATCATTCAGCCCCCTTCTCCAGTGGAATTCCCAAATTGATGACCCCCTCTCCCATCTGGATKTCCAAAATGCCGCCTGTCRTATGGTATGGATATTTTCTGGAACTACCAAATGTACATGCAAACTATATATTTAACTACCCTAAATTGGTAGCAGTTGAAAATCAATAAATGTAACATCCTGAATAAAACTGTATAGAGTGAAAAATTAAAAAAATCAAGCTTATATACAATTATTTGGAACAGTGTAATTAAAAGTTGTTTTGTTTTTCACAGCGCTGGGCCAGCTGCAATAAGATTGATAATAATATTTCCAAAAAGCAGAMTTGAGATGACAGCTTGTTTGTTTACAAGGCATCAGTAATTAAAAGAAAACGTAACCTTCTGACAGAAATGAGTTCTTGAATTAACATACATTACAAGGGGGGGCGGCAACAAAGGGGGGACTGGGGTGGCCCTGTTTCTATTATTACATCTTACTCTTGTTCATTCTCTAATAACATATATTTTTGTCATATATTTAACTGATTAAAATAGTTATAGCTATTCTTACCACCTCTTCAAGCTTCACAAGTCAACAAACTTTGACGATGTTTTGCCTCYMCACRGACTAGAACGGTGTGACACTCGACTTCAAAGCAACAAATTCAATATTTTTGGCCTAAAAACACAAATAAACCAACATAATTAGAGTCTAMAAGGTCYTTTGGCCAACAGAATTAAAGCACTGATGAAATAAAAGAAGGTTTTAAGCATTTTTTACCTCCAAAACATTTCATGTTTTCATAAATCCACGTGCAATCCGCCATAACAGTATGACCGCAAAGCATCACGATTCATCCACAGGGAGCCCATGAAAACGGGTGATACATCCGGCCGCCATCTTGAATTTTAGGCTGTGCAAAATAAAATATTTTGTTTCRCTRTTTTCTAGAAAAACTGGTTCTTKCTTCACTTTTATTGAGAGTATACGCCGCGGACTACAASTGGAGTATCAGGCAAATACAATTATGACACTGTCATACCCTCGACCGCAAACGAAAACACCGTGTCCGTGTGTAATACGTTTTTAGCGCATTTTTGGCTAAAAAAAAAGAAATTTTTTTTCTTTCATTTGATGAGACGAGAGATGCGACGATTAGCAAAAGTGAATATCATAGTATATGTCAACCAACCGCGTGTGGTAAAGTGTGGCAAAGTCATATATATTGGAGTAATATATCTATGATTTGATAGTTTATTTGCTCATTCACTTGTGTCGCATTCTTTCATTAGCCCATGGGTGCGTCTTTCACCGTGACGCAGGATTACAGTACCCCGAAGGTAACACACGATGACCATTATATAACAAAATTCGCGTTTTATTAAAAGATCATTTATTAGTAAAACCCCACTATTAAAATCATGTTTATATCAATTTTTTACACTGTTCATGTACAACCATAGATTTCTACACGCATGCATACGTAGTTCGCTTCCACAGGRTGAAACCTGACGTAACGAGCTTGTACAGCTCCTTGTAGTCTGTTAATTACTGGAGTGAAGTGGTCACAGTTACCCGTAAACACCTAAGAAAAACAATAACGATTTATTGATACACCAATGAATAAGATCCTAGATACGTCCCTGGAGCTGCAGGATCTTAGTCTAGATCTCTGCTGACACAATTAGGGTTTAGGGTTAGGATAGGCATGATTAGTGTGGCAATTTTACCTTTTCGGATCCAGCGCCGTCTTGGACATACACCCAGTTAGTTTCATCAATACTGTGAGACAATTTAAACGTTTTGACGTGCTCGAAGTATTTGTGTCGACCTGAAATCCAAATCATTACATTAATATCAATAAACACATTATAAAGACATCTGATTAATCAACGATGATGCGTTATGAGAAAGTGCACACAAATGGCTTTCAAGTTATGTTTTCTTCGACTGACGCCAGTGATAATAGCCTTTTATAACTAAATAAACGATTCGTGAGATAGTTATGCACCTTGAGTTGCTACAGATGTGATGTAAGTCTTAGTTCCCAAGTCCACCTGAAGCCATTGGTCTTTACTAGATGCAGCGCACCAGGCTCCAACTCGCTTCTGAGTGTGATCGTCTTCAATGTACATTCGTGCATTGCGGGCGCCGTAATCCCAGGATCCTTGGTTCAAGATCAACAAAACTCAAGTAAATAAGGGTAAGTATCGGAAGAAAAAGTGAAGGGCAAATTTTCATCTTCATTTATTCTTAATGTGTTGTGCCTCAATTTTTTTTTGCTGGGAATCTTCACCATAAAAGTGTCAATAATCATAAATATTATTGTGAACATCATTATATAATATCTTAATAATATCTTAATGATAATCAAATATTCCTTGTTGTAATTACACTGCACTGACCGATGTTAAGTTCTGATGAGGCAGTGAAAGCCGAGTCAGGTAGTCTGTTGTCCCATCCTAATCCAAGACGATTCGAGCATGGAGCTGAAAAAAATCAAAAAACTTGATTGATATGGCTTTAATAACTTAGTAATGACGCTACAGATCCACAAAGACACAGACACAAAATATTGATACCTCTGGATGCAGAGGTAGCTAAAGAAAAAAATGTTGCTCAAAGTAGGAAGACTTTTGCGGGTATCTTTTAAATGCCTTTTTACCATTTCCGAGTAATAACTTACCAAAAGGTCTCACGGGCTCATTATCGCAGTATTTTGATTTACAGCTTTTCAAGCAATTCCTTTTAACATAGTCGTCGGTGGAGCACCTTCCCTCCTTTGCCCAAGTAGCACAATTTCCATGACTGTCTTTACATTTGATACCTTGAAAGCMGGTTGTACAGTATGTTAGAGGATTCATTGCTTACATCAACATTTCAAATCAAGCTGCCTTTGCTTGCAACAAGCCGCGCCTGTTCATCATCCTTCAACTTCCTCGCGAAGTCTGCGCGCTTTCTACATCCACAATAAATTTAGTCGTGTGAAATGATAACTTGTAACTATCTATTGCTCTCCCTCCCCCCATTCTCTTCCTCTCTGCATCGGCCTTTCCCCTCTCCCATTGAAAGAATTAGCACATTGATAGCCTTCAACACCATTATAAGAAGAAATTGTTATTTTAATGTGACTTACCAATTGGGTTTGGTGGAATGGTCTGGATTCCTGGATTTACTGTGGGTGGTAGTGTTGTTGGTAATGGTGGGGTAGGAGGTAAGGAAGGTTGTGTAGGTTGTTGTGTTGTCTGTGAGTCAGTAGTAGGTTTGGGTGTATTAGTGTGTGTTGTTCGTTGAGCGTCRGTAGTATTTTGTGGACGTACTGTGCGCCGCGATGTGGGTGGTTGTGATGTTTGTGTTGGTGGAGTAGAAGGCAGGGGAGTTTGWGTTGGTTGTGTTGTCTTTGAATTGGTGGTGGTAGATTTGTGTTTGTGGGTTGGTGTAACTGTTGTGTTAGTCTTTGGTTGRCTTGTAGATGTCGGAACGTTGGTAGTGGTTGGAGTAACTGTGGTAGGAATCACTATGAAACAAGATGCAAACAGTGTGACAACAATGACAACCACAACAACAACAAATGTTATGTGATATAAAAACAGGTGGGAACTAGYGGTAAACTAGTGTGAGCTGCGTCGGTGTTTCTAAAGAAACAGTTGTGTAAAAAGATAAATTAAGCACCGTAAAAAAGTAGGTACTGACGTTAATCCTTCGTCGGAGTAAAAGAGCTTTACTTTACATAAAAACATCCTATTATTAATTATGGATGAGCCTTTCACACTTACACGAGAGTGTGGATAGGGAACAGACTATTGGAGAATGTTTAAAACTGACAGCTAACAATTAGCTTATAGGTTGTCATTTTAACGCGTTTACTGACAACAGATAGTAAGACTCCAATCAAGACCCTTTAACAGGGATAGGCTTGTCTAYAGCAAAAACCACTGTATACCGACAGGACTCCATTTGCTGAATCTGAATCTTATATGTAGTTCATGGATGGCTTACCTGGACATCCATACAACTCAGCCCTCATACAGATATGATTTTTCCATGTTTGAGGATTAATTCGTATATATTGAGCGCTGATTGGTGGAGATATTGAATTAGTTGTCACAGTTGACATATCTATATTCCCCGTGAATACCTAAAAATAGAAAAAAAAGGAAAGAGGATGTTTAATCGTTAATTTTGTAATTACTTTATGATGAGCCTTTTTTTAATTTTATTTTTCGATGCGGTGTTGCWCACGAAGGTGAGAAAYCTGCAGTTACCGTTGAGTGTTGAATCCACGAGTTGCCATCATCACTGTACAATAAAACATAACTTTTAACGAACTTTGGGGTTTTACTCTCTCTACCTGAAAAATTAAAGCTTTCATTTAGTTACTAATACATGATGGAGAATAATTATAATTACAGCCAGCGAGTCATTCAATCGACCAGTTGGTCAATCACTATACTTACCTTGAGTTGCAACACCAGTAACAGTAACCTTAGCCCCGAGATMAATTTCCAGATATTCCCTGGTGTCCAGATCACGAGAGCACCATGCTCCCACCCCTGTTACACCTGGTTTGTGATGTAAACGAGCTTCACGAGCACTGTGCCATCTAAACCAATGGGAAAAGCAATAAATATTATGATTACTATAATAACACATGATTATCATTAGTCGTTATTGATGCGGTAACCTTAACTGAAGGACGAATGGAGAAATGGCCTCCTTTCACTCATTAAACCAGCTTATAATATATACAGCTATATGCAAAAATTATTATCATTTTGACTTACAGCCTTTTGCAAAAATTATGAGAATTGTCTAAATATCTAAATATCATATATCCATATCCATATATTGTCCGGAACACGCGGGTTTGCTAGAATAATTCATTGTTGACATCGAGAAAATGTTCAGAACTACGGATAAGTACGTCGCCAAAAAAAACTAAACAACAAAGACAAGGGACTAAGGGCATCGCGCGGGATCATGCACTTGATATTATGATATTTAGATATTTCAACAATTCTCATAATTTTTGAAAAAGGCTGTATATTCCAAGTATATATAAAATATATAAGAAATTATGGGATATCATCGCCAATATTTTTTTTAAGTTCGCTAGTACTTTCTGAAAAAAATATTGTCGATATATCCCATAATTTCTGATATATTTCATATATTTGAAATATGAGCAAAAAAAGACTCATAATTTCTGCATATTGCTGTATCATAAACAATTATAATAATCATTCATATTTTTACAAACTTGGCATTATGAAAGAAAGCACAAAAAAACATGTTTACCATACTAAACATTTCCATTCCCTTTAAAGGGAAACCTCGCGCTAATCCGGCCACCTAAGGGAAATCGGGAAAATGGTCGTATTGACGTGATGTCTCGGCAGAAAAGTGTGTGGCTTTAATCGAAGTGACATAATGCATTTATTTTAAAACTGATGTACACGATGCGATTTGGCGTGTACTCGTTGTCTCGGCGCCACGTTGTAGGATTTTGAACCCTTGTTCTTGAAGCCTCTCGTGACTACAATGTAGTTCATTTGTACGGTACGATTTCTCCTTGATTTCATTACATAGYAASACCTTACCTGTTGACCTGTGTGGATGATGATATCGCACTATCAGGAATMCGTTTGTCTTGCATTCCAAGAGGCTTAGGAGAYACGCACGGTTTAGGTGAGGGTGTCAATGCGGGCGTTGTWCCTGATGAAGGGGTGCTTTTACGAGTGGCTGGTGTTGAAGTATCTGTAGGAGGGGTAACGGGCGGGGGTGGAGTGACCTCTGGTCCTGCTGTAGGCGGTGTTACAGGGGGTGGCGGGGTTTGTGGTACACCAGAACCAATGTATAAACGAATCCAGTTCACAAACTCGCTAATTCTTGCAAATACAGTGTATTGATTGTAGCCAGCACTGCAAGTTCTGGTTCCCCAGCTGACTGCCCCTTGTAGTACCCACTTATTATTAGTTCCTTTACAAACGAGGGGTCCTCCCGAGTCACCCATGCATCCGCTGACCGTGCTGCTTCCACCATACCCAGCACAAAGCTAATGAACAAGAAAGTAAAGTTATATGTAATATATACAATATGAGCGTGCGATCTGTATGTAATATACAACTCTCTTCATGGGCTATGATTTCTATTGTGTTTTGCCTTATGAATATTAATGAGTTTTATAAGCTATGACATTAACATGGACAAATTTAATAAGAACTTAACGTTGACCCTACCATGGAGGTTGTTATTGTTCCATACTTTCCCATTGCTTCCGCACATTTCTTTTGGGTAACCGAAGGCATCATAGCTTCTTGAAGGACGACAGACCCTGGTTTCAAGGACCCAGTCCTTCCCCAGCCTAAAAGAGGTTAAAATGAATGCGTGTAAATTCAAATGAGATTATGATAAATGGATTATAACTTTGATCATGATTATAATTGTGATGGTTATCATCAATGCAAAAGTGATTGTATTCATTGCCGTTGCCATCGACCGATAATCATAAGAATAGTGCTCAGATAATGTTGATAATGATTGAATATGATGATGACGATGACCTTTCGGTCTTTAGTACCAACCGAGGAATACTGTGAGTCAACGTACCAGTGATGTAGCAGGTTTTTCCAGGTCGTACGCTAACACCATGAGAAGGGAGGCAAATTGTGTTCACCGCTTTGTTTAGACTAGCTGGACGACTTAGCTTTAAAAGAGCTAAAACAAACTGTCAGTGATCAAGACAATGATAACTTTTAGCCGTAAGTTAAACTCTTTTTGATCATTCAAATATTTATGACGTGGGTAAATCTAGTTGAGAAAGGCCAAGCACGTGGACGTCAGACGGCGAGGTATCATGGGAAATCATATTTGAGAATTGAAAATCCTCATGAAATACCCCATGCTGCCTCGCGGTCGGATAATGAAGCTTTATAGGCTTTCTCAAAGACAACAACAATAATTGAATAAGCTGTAACATACCTATATCGTTGTTGTATTGTTGTCTATCGTATCTAGGATGTACAATAATTTGTGAAACGGAGAACTGTTGCTCTGTCTTATCGTTTCTATGAATGTGATGTTCACCTGGTTTGTGGAATAAAAACAAATCTCAACTTCTTGTTAATGATCAAGTACCTGTTCTTGATATTACATATTTCTTACAGACGATTGATTTACTGAATCAGATTAAATCAACCAACGGTTTTTTCCATCATCTTGAAATGTAACCGTGCCTTAGCATCGAAGCCGTCCGCGCATTTGCCGAGAAGAAGGTAGAGGTCATTCCAAATGGCCATTGAAAAAAAAAACAAATATTTTGCTCAATCAAAACTAGTGAGTACTTGGGCATTGTTTCCCACTCACCGAGCTTTATGCGATAACCCTTGTCTTTGCTGCTTCCTCCAACGCAGTGCGCTGCTGTCAAGACCCACTGAGCATTCAGTAACGAACCACCACAATGATGGGTACCATAGCGAGTTAGGATTTGTACCTGCCAAGGCCAACTGTTCTTAACTGCTGTCTGTCCGTCAACTATTTTACCAGGAAAACGCCCATAATGCCGTACACCACACTGACCTGAAGATTAAATAAAGTACTATCATCATAAAGTTGATTATTACAGAGATACTGATGTTCTGGTGTTGGGAAACTAACTGCAATGTATCATGTTTCTACCACTACCGTTCGTAAGTCGCGCGCGTTAAAGGGACACTGTCAATGGATGACATGCGCGGTAACAATCTCACCTCTAACGGACTTTGAAAGTATTACCTTCGAGGTAAATCATTTTGTGGTGCTTTTGACACTCTTTGGAATATTCTAGATCTGTTTACGTTTACGAGCTGATTTATGTCGCGCCAACTTGCAGTCATAAACTTGAAAACACTAGCCTAATGTTTTCAAGTTTACTCGCGCATGCGTGCCATTGACAGTGTCCCTTTAACAAAGATGGTTTGTTAGGACGATGAGCTAACTGGTATGCACCACTTCTTTAGCAATTACCGCTGGAAATCTTTCTTGTACAGTCACCGAGGACTGTTTTCACCACAACTCCACCATTAACGAATGGGGTTTGTGTTTCGACTATTGATCTTTCCTTACCAGGTTTGACCGGTGGTTTAGGACGCTGAGTTGGAGGTTTGGGCCGCTTTGTAGGTGGTTTTGGTCGCGGAGTTGGAGGTCTGGGTCTTTGTGTTGGAGGTCTGGGTCTTTGTGTTGGAGGTCTGGGTCTTTGTGTTGGAGGTCTGGGTCTGGGAGTTGGTGGTCTGGGTCGAACCGTACATTTCCTGCAGCTAAGCTTGCAATACACGTGCATATATCTAGGATTTCTCCAACATTCTCCTTGTCTTGCCCATCGCCTACATGATAGGTTTCTGTCCCGGCAAGGAGTTGGTCTTACTATAAGTTAATACAATAACATTAAAGGATGAATAATCGAAATTAAATAATGAGAAAAAAAAGGAAATGAAAGGAAAAGGAAAGGACACAGGGAAATTGAAGTGAGAACAAGAAAAAAAGTATCCACCAAAAACACTTCAATGATAGGAATTGAAAGAAAGGAAACAAGTTTATAAGTCTTTTTGTTGAATGGAAGAATGAAAGATAAGAGATATAAATAAAGTATATTCACCTGAACACCACCCACAGCTTCTTTTGCACATTGATCTCATGTAACGAGGATTGTACCTGCACTGTCCCTGTCTGGCATATGTTGAACAGTAGACGTTATAATCTCTACAAACCGCTGTGACAAATAACGGAGAATTGTAATAAATAAGAGGGCATCAATCAATCAAAAATGAAATCATCGAGCAGCATTTTAAAAAACTTGGAAAACATATTGATTTCCATTGGGGTGCTGATTTCCCAAATAGCTGAATGCACAAACGCAAAATTGCAAACCRCATGAATGCAAAGAATGCATGCGGAAGCCACTGTTGAGAGACGATTCATGTCTTTCAACATGGAGGATGATACTTGAGGTCTGGGTCAACATGAAGGTATGATAAACTTTCAATCAATTTTCTGTGATACACAGAGTTAATTTTTGCACAAACCTGTGTACTCATTTGCGAGTACATTAGGCTAACTGGAAGGAGAAAAAACATATGTAATAAGTTTCTTTAAAAAAAAWTTCATGCAAGGAAAACGATAAACAAATAAAAAAACAGGGTTGAGTACCAATGCTTTCTCAAGATGGTCGACCTTAGTTTCAAGCCTCATACATGTTCAAAGGCGCGTTTTTTAAAAAAAAACGAAGCTCTTTGCCCCACTGTGCAATCTTCCTCTTAAAATCACATTAAAAACACGTCACTTCCCCTTTCAGTGCCCCGTTAGCCCAGRGGGTCGGGGGTTTCAATTGAATAGCGCATTATGTCAACTGTGATAGGTCAAGAAACTGAGAACGAGTAAGCTACGACAGTGGTTCTCTATTTGAGGAGTCACGCACGTTCAATTGCTGTTTTTTCCTCTGTAATTGCTCACATAAAGCTCATCAGCTAATAGCTCATCAGTAGTTGCCCTRATTCATTCTCTATATATATTACTGGAAAAACGCTATCTGGTTTTAAAGTAAGTATGTTCCTGTCAAGAATCATCATGATCAACAAGAGCTCGTTTATCGTCATACTGGTATTAAYGATGATCTTCGTTCTTTATATCATATCTACACGTCTTCAGCTGAGTCTTGACATGACCATGCAAAAAAGGTAAGATGAAAATTTACATGTTTTTTTTCTTTGGGATCGAAACTGAAGAATTTCGTTTTCTGTTGTCGTGACGGTGGTAAGCTTCACTATGGCTAAAACAAACAATCCTTGCACATGGTTGATTGATACCCCAAACCTTTCGGTTTTGTCTGAGCTTTGTCTACTCTGTCTGTCTAAACCAGAGTCAGTTAATAACYTTGMCTTACGATATAACTACTTTTGACCTACGCAAAACGAATTTTCATAAACAGGAAACGTTGAAATCTCGGGAAGTCCTTCCGATTAGTTTCTTATCCTAAGTATGCACATTTATTTGTCGAATAGATAAAGCGGGGCTGGAACGAATGYTGTGTAATCGGTACATTAGTACATAACATCTCATGGATTTACAGCTCACCCCATTTAATTTACAGCTCACCCAATTTAATTTTAAAATATCTTTGCGATTTGTTTCAATACCAATTCAGATTAGAAAAAGGGACTTTGTGAAGAAATAGCCAGACTCCTTTTAAAAGAATACATGTATATAGCAACATAGGTAACGAGCTCTTTTTTCTATTGATTTTGATTTAAAACATCGACTTCAGTAATGTTCTCTTGTATTTAGTCTGGCTTCTGGTGAATTCTATTTAAATCTTTGAACGACCACTCTAGTAAGCGACCACTCTAGTAAGCGACCATCTCTCGTAAGCGACCACCTTTTAAATTTCCCGTTTTGTTCAGTTTCCCATACAAGCTCTGTAAAAAAAAACTTTCTCGTATGCGACCATCTMTCGTAAACGACCACTTTTTCCTGATCCCGAGATGGTCTCTGATATATCTGACGGTAGACTAAATTTCGCCATGAATTTGATTATCAGTGACAAAATAAATACTTTTACAAAAAAAAAAGATGCCTATAAAATAATTAAATACTCAGTTCTCAACGTTTATAAAGGCTTATTGAAAACACCTATGTACACCATCTATAATATACGATGTAAAATTTTTCCGGCCCTCCCTATATACCTATGTAATGTATTTCCAYATTTCCATTTTATTTTTTTCATAACGATAACTTACTTGTTTTTTTTTTCCGTAGTATACCAATTAATGCCCAAGCTGAATTACACAAGTATCTYTCAAGGGARCTYCATCAAATTCATGGCCAGATTGTCGAACTGGCACTCACAAAGAATCCTAAACTTGTCTTGAAGTATGAAGAGATTTTGMAAAGAATAGACAATGCTAATACGCAATCACAAAAACYAAGGATTCAATCAGATCAGAAAACTAATCATCTCAAAAGCAGGGACGTTTGCCCAGAAGTTTTTGAAGGAACACAGGCAGGCTATCCTTATTATGAAAAAGGTTGGACTATTACGAATTGTRCGAACGCTAAACCAATTCAAGCAGTTATAACCATCCTTATCAATTCAGTAACKTATTCCACAAAGGAGTTTAACCGCCTAAGCTACGTATTAGATGGCATAAAGAAATCCTATCCWACTGTTGCTGTTTTGGTAGCCATTCAAGACAAACAAGTTGTTGAGAATGGAGAGAAGTACACAAATGTCAAGGTATTTAAGAGCAGCTTATCATCAAGCAAAACTTGGAACATGCTTRTCAAAAAGGCATCAACACMGTATGTTTTGATCGCTCGTGATGTTGTTCACTTTTCCTGGCTGTCTCAACTTGAAAGACAAATTCGTGTTGTGAGTGAGATAACCAATGTTGGTGTAGCAGGAGGGTCTTACAGGAACTTATCTGGACACTGGACAATGGGATGCTTTCAAAGCAATATGAAGAACTATGTGCTGGAATACCAGGAAGGATACTTCTATTCCAGGAATGARTGCATGATATGTGACTATTTACAAGGTCCTTTTGTAGCAAGAAAGTCTATCTTAAATTTTGATGAGAAGATAAATGATGAAGTTTTGTTTGAAGACTTGTTTCTCTCTCTAGTTCAAAAAGGAACTTTGATAATGGGCTGCCCAGATGCTATGTACTTTACAAGAGAAATCGCACCAAAGCCAAGTAAAGTTTGGAAAGCGTTGGCGAAAAAATGGGTACTAAATCGCATAAAACTTTCTAATGGGGGAAAACATTYATTCTCGTGTAAAGATATCGATTTTAAATGCTCCAATGATGTAACTCGCTCCTACTTGCTACCAGTATGCTGTCAAGAGCTGTATGAACAAACGTTGGGCGTCCTGCAGGACTTTGCGAATCAAAACAACTTTTCTTTTGAGCTTGACACTGGCTCTACTTTAGGAACGGTCAAGTTCAACGGTTTAATGCCGTGGGATGCGGATGGCGACATACGCGTCCTCACGAAACAAATAAATATTTTTACCAAGAAAGAAACCATTGAATACTTTAAGAAACGTGGCATTCTTCTTCTAAAGTATGAAAAGCCGACATACAACACTGAAAACTACGATGGCTATGTAAAGATTCAACCGACAGGATACGACATTGATGTTTGGGGAAGAAAACTTTTAACTTGTCCACAATTTTTACCGGAGGATTTACAAGACTCTTACACACTCGCACAAGTTCGAGGCACGTGGGTGAAGACCGTGTTCAGTCCAGGACTGTTTGTGAGAAATAGGTATGGAGTAGACGTTTTGAAGCATTCACAGTCATGGGGCTGGGCTGGAGGAATGGAGCATAGCTATAGTGATTATAAACCTGGTAAATTTACAAAATGTGCAGACCCGAAGCATCATTCTTGCCTAGACCACTTTCCTGGAGATGGAAATATTCCTTTCTTGGTTCCATAATGGTCAATTTGGATGGATTGACGGTGTAAACCGTCGAAATACTCATTCGCGTAAAGTACTGATGTTTAATTCATCTGTGATTTAACAGATTCAAAACTCTGTCGACGCAAGTTATTTGTAAAATAAGGGAGCGGATTATATTTAACAAATAAATAAGGCTCAGCCGTGATTTATACTCTGATAAACGCACGCTTGGCATTTAAAACACACGAGAAAATGTCAAGAAGCACGAGCTGAAAGCGAGGCCACAGGCTGAGCCTTATTTATTTGTTTTATTATATAGATTTTGAGCAAAACTTAAGCAAAAATCCATTTTGTTGCCTTTTCCAAAAATCGCTCGCGCACAATCGTGGTTTATACTCTCATAAACCACACTTTTTGGCCAATCAGAGCGCGCGTTAGAAATCTATATAATAAAGGTGTGTATTATATGGGTGTATGTTTATTGATAATTAAGTCAACAAAAATAAAATGATTCAAACAAACCTCGTCGAGCTCTCTTGACAACGTAGCGTTTTCGTCGTTTGTATGGTTCTAACAAACGAAAGGATTTGAGATTAATATAAATATGTGAATAAAGAACTATATAAAAAAGAGAAAAAAACAAAATGAAATAACCATAAAGCCACTGTAGAAAAAAAACCTATAGAGCCAAGATAGTCATTAAAATGACCGAAAAGATACTTRAGAAAATTGAAAAGAATGGCTCTTTCTATGAATTSAATTGTCCAAGTTAATCATTCARCACAAAACAAAACCGAAATTGTTACATACCGGGAACAAGCTTTCTCCCACAATTGTTATACATCTTATTTGCCTGCAGAGCGTCCAGTGCGCTTAATTTTCTGTAAGGAGTCTTCCCATTCAAAGGCCGCAAAGCTGTTAGTGTTGGTTTCCCATTTTTGGAGAAGGCACTGAATGGATAGTGCATAATCGATTCGTAGTCGTAAGGCACATTTAACGAATCGATCTTACCTCGTCCATACTTCTCAAAAGCACTCTCGAATCCTGTGAAATGAGTTAAAAAAGAGTAATTAACACGTTATTTGTATTATTGTCAAATGAGAGTCAACGCTTGAATTGGATCTCACCAGAGACAGTGGAGACTTTTACCCTTATTTTTCCTAACTCAGCAACCCTTCTGAATGGTTCATATCTCAGCCTACCCCATCCCCTCACCTTTGCTCACCTGGAATAATATTTGCCTTGTTAACTCTGACGTAACTGTCACGATCCGGTCGACTTTGCTCGTGCCAAAAGCCTATAGCGTGACCAATTTCGTGCACCATGACGTGTTGGAACTCACAACCATCACCGACAGACAGCGAATTTTTGTTTCCTATGCGCCCCACATTACTCCAACACCTAAAGAGAAATTCAAGAATGGGAACAGGGAAAAAACTGAACCTACGACAAAAGCGACTGGATGTCTTTAAGTTGAATGTCGAAACTATTCGCTTACCCCTTGTTCCTAAAGAACCAGAGATAATCCTTTTGTCCATTTCGTTGTACAAATCGTATACAGGTTTTTGACTCCCATTCTTGCATGGCTTTCTTGATGGCATCTATTGCATTTGGCATTCTTTCTGTATTTTTATAATTTAATGATCAATTTGTACCTTCTTATCAACTACTTGATAGTTAAAGTCTAAATACAACCCACCCAACCACCAACTCAACCCACCMAMCCACCCACCCACCCACCATTCAACCAGCTAACCAACCAACTAACTAACCAACCCACCAACCCAAAACCCCAACCCAAACAACAAAACCAACTAACCATCCCACTAGTCAACCCACCMACCAACCAACCGACCAACCAATCCAACAACCAACCAACTATTCAACCAAAAATGCAACCGACTTACCATTCAACCGACCAACCAACATTAACCAAAAGACCATGTTATTCAGTCATTTACTTACGCAGGCTGCAATCTATTTCATATGGAATAACTCCATTAGGCCATCGGATTTTAGTGTCTCCACTAGCTGCTCTTGATACACTGCCATATATATCGATGTTTCTTCTTTGTTCTTTAGTGAGCACAAGATCTGCTTCGAATACATTGCCAGGAAGAGGTGGTCTTGACTGATTAACTAAAATGAAGTACATCCCTAATCACTGATCGATTGATAACAACCTCGTTACACTATCCCTTCGTACAGCATCGACGTTGGATTGATAAAGATGATGATGATTAAAGTCTTACTATCCATATAATAGGATTGTATCAAAGGAAGCCTTGAGAGCTAATTGGAAGTAGCAAGTATATAATCCCAAGCATTCTCTGCGGTCTACAGCATCGTCATCGTCCCTTCCAAATACAGTCAACTCTCTTGTAAGCGACCACCTYGGGATCAGGAACTAAAAAGTGGTCGCTTTCGGGAGATGGTCRCTTACGAGAGTGGTCGTTCAAAGAGAGTCAACTGTAGCTGCCAAGGCTTCATTTGATATTATCCTAATATACGCACCATGCTGCTAAAGGTTAACTTCATGTATTTATATAATATTGGGTATAGATACGCAACTGTATTTCTCGACAACGGTGTGTTCAACTACACAATCAYACGGAGTGACTGAAGCCCTCAATTTAATATTACGTACGTTATGATTTCAGTGCAAGAACTCGCGTGGCGCATTATGTGTTYGTTTCAATTAAATTATTCACACTATATAGAGAGGAAAAGGAGGGAAATATTATACAAAAGAAATATATTCCGTGGGTCTGTAACAGATACACTAGAAGACGTCAAAATGTGATGAGAACAGCGTTAAAATGTGACGAGAACAGCACGCAACTCGACTTCGTCTCATGACGTTTTTTTTGTCTTGGTCTCATTTTTTCGTCTTCTGTGTTTCTATCACAATACAGACGTACGGGAAAATGTAATCTATTTGTTAATAATTATTTATTGAGTAATTTAACTGTAATTCTTACCATTTGGTTTAAGCTCTAAGTTAGCCTGTACAATAAGGTCGAATGACCCAGTGTTGCTCGGATCCGGAGGAGGAAGCTGAGCTGAATATGCTATTCCMCATAACCACGTACAGAAAATGACAAAAGCACGCATTATCTGGAGATAAGAAACATCGTCACTACCATCCCTAGTATCTTCCCGCTATAATATCCCTCSCTAGCCCTTACCCAAAAGCTCTTATTAGGTTTTTCTCGTTCGAGGATTAGTGTGAAATTTTGCYYAGAAACACAAGTGACTGTAGTGAATAACTATTCACACAGGGAATTTGATAATAACAGCACTAAATGACAATCAGTAGCCGACTTCTGTTTTCGTGCTTTCTATTTGGGCCCGGCAGAGCCACACTTGACGTCACTTGTGAGCAGGGTAACGCAACTATTACGGAGGCTCTAAGTAAACCGTATAGTTTATTATCTAAGCTATATCTAGGCTACTAGGAGAGCAGAAATCAAAGGTCGTCCGCCGGCAGCAATTTCCTGTGTTTCAAGATGGCCAAGAATCAAGAGGTCAGTGTCACCGTATTATAAAACGCTATGCAATTTTAAAGTTTTTTTGACAGAATTTAAATATTTGTCATGAAATATCAGTACTAACTACACTAAATCAGTAAATCCTAGACTGTATCGACCTCTGCCTTGGGAATTAAGCACAATTTTCTCGCCTTATAGCWATTCAAGCGCCTAATGATAGATCATTGCTACACTATAAAAAAGCCCTTCAGATCAATTATAATACAAACAAWTCAAAAGGACTGAATGACGATAAAAAGGGCACTTCAGTGGTAATGACCTAAAACCAAAACCGCGGTGGTAGAACTAACCTTCTCTATTCGTCTTCAAGGTGTTTTGTTCCCTTGGCAGACTCCAATAATACTAATGCGCACGGCCGCGGACGAATGTGTATCTGCCTGCAACAAGTTCCGTTGGACTACTATAACACTTTGACGAGGATTAGAGATATCAAATTTCMAAAGCAACTTTGAGTTAAATATCGCACTCCAGGACGTCSACGTYGACGTCATTTCCTGAAAGTCATTTTACGAAGTTCCTGCGACATTTTGTTTCGCAATAAGTCAGGTACTCGGAAATCACCGGAAGACAATCGCAAAGTAACTTAAATCTAGTGCATTTATCTAACATCAGTTAAATGCAATAGCAGTAACCAATGATAAACAACGACATTGACTGAATTATATATTTTTGGACAAATAGATGAAGACTGTTGAACAGCTTCTGGATATTGGGAGGAGTTTAGATAGAAATAACTATTGGAGGTTACCGGAAGACCATAGTTGAGCGCTGCTACGTATGCGAAGGAAAAGAAGAAATTACCAGAAGTAAAAACAGTTATAGGACCACCACCACTACTGGTAGTCCCTTACATTATTCTAAAACTGTCATAAGTGTGATCTCTGCTCCGGGAATCTCGGTACTGAAGCCCTAGCCTGGATGAAACTCAGGCTACAAAGTCTCGCGGATTTCACACTTTTTGCTAGCGTGCCTAGCCCTGTGAAGAGAAGAAAGAGGCGAGATGAGCGCTATGCAGGCTACGATGGGTTTTGCATATACAAAGTATCAGAATATCGTTTAAATTATCAAACAGTTACAATTTTCCCGCCACAATTGTTCATTATGGTGCTAGGATAACCATAACCATCATAATGTCATCGCTCCTTAGCAACATTAAACAGTACACACTGATTATGATAAGATTACTGTTAATTGTATTGCCATGGAAAATAGCCATAAATGCCTGACTACGCCAAAATTTGTGTCAATAATTAGTCATTTCTATAGTAACTTTGACGTCATAGTTACGACTGTTTGTCATGTTTTTATAAATATTTTGCTGTTCCCTAGCAACATCAATGTCAATGTCAGGATGAATTTTCAAGTATTGTTTTTTCTATTGTCATGACAACAAGCCATAAACACCTCACAACGCCATAGTTTTATCAATATTTTGTCATTTCTATAGCAACTTTGATGTCATAGCTACGACTGTTTGTCATGTTTTTATAATCAATATTTTGCTGTTCCCTAGCAACATCAACGTCAGTGTTAGGATTTTCAAGTCTTGTTTTTTCTATTGTCATGGTAACCAGCAATAATCTCATTGGTCATCTATACCATTGAGAAGACTATTTGTCAAATTTTATCAATATTTTGCTATTCCTTAGCAACATCGACGTCATAGTTGCGATTTTCCATTGTTGTTGTCAAATTTTATCAATATTTTGCTATTCCTTAGCAACATCGACGTCATAGTTGCGATTTTCCATTGTTTGTTCTAGTGCTATGACATCTACATGTAAACTTCCAATCTGATTGGTAGTGTCTGTTATGTTATGTTGTTTCGTTTTCATGGAGACGAAATCCGTCGCCATAATAAAAAGACATAACAAAGAAAGTGATTGGATACCTGACTGGTAGCAATGTTTTTGTTTATGCAATCAGTGTTGCTACGGAAGGGGAAATATATTAAGGGTTGTAGTATCAAAACGTGCATTTCGTGTTCAAGTGTGTGGCATAGCACTGAGTAAAAATGTTTCAGTTTAGGAGCGAAGAAAAGATAAAAAGGCATGTAAAGGTCTCATCTACGGTGAAAAGGGAAACTGGTAAGGAAACGTTTTGCTAATATTGTAGTTTACCTAAATTTATCATAGCCTGGACACCCTCTTCTGTCCATGTCATGTAATTTTGTTGTAATTTACAGCAACAGTTACTTCCTTTTTCTCATTTTCTATCCGTTCCGATTCAATTCGCGGTCAATCCAATTGATTTGTCTCTTGTTGTACATATGATTTTTCTGAGGCATTTTATTGAACAGTTCGGACTTTTAAACTGACAATTATTATCTCGAGCCACGCATTACTGAAGGCCCGTCGATTGTATAATTAATTGTATAACTAATCATAGGCAATGAATAAATTTATGTTCATCATTTATTTTTATTCGTTTATTCACCCATTCTTTCTTTTCATTCATCTTGACTTTGTATCCCATTCAATATTTCATTAWTTGTTTATTCATTCAATATTCAGTATTCAATACTTCATTTTTACATATAGGATCGATCAAGAATAGAAGAACGGAGCTTTGGCATTTTCTTCTCGAGTGTCTGTCAGATCCTAATAGCACTGTCATATCGTGGGAGGGCAGCTATGGAGAGTTTCGAATCCTCGATCCCGAGGCCCTAGCTAAAATGTGGGGTGCAAAAAGCGGTAGACCTAAGATGACCTATCAAAYCATGAGCAGAGCGCTAAGGCACTACTACACCAAAGGAATCTTGTCTAAAGTCAAGGATAAAAAATGGTGCTATTGCTTCAGCCCTGAAGCCCTCAATCTGGTTGTGGGAGACAATATCATGGAAACAGTGCCTAACACTATTCCTATGACTCAGTACAGCCATCCAAGAGCAGATCTCTACCAGGCGCTGCCGTATGGATTTAGTGATGCCTATATCACAGGTCATTTCACAAATTCACGGTCTCTTGATATGATACCCTATCAGTGTCAGCACGATTTTCTATATTTTATGGATAATCTTAACGCCATGCCTTTCTCAAGCTCTAGTATCAGTGGCTTTTCGTCCAACTTACGTGGATATTAGTTACTTTACGATATGTAAGGATATACCATCAGTATAGTTTGAAAACGAAATACTCTAAATCAATTATGTAAATAGTTTTTCTTAGTTTACTTTGAAGTATTCGTAATCATATGCATTGAAATCAGAAAACGACAACGTAGACTTGATTAGAGTAAGGTTCAATTCCTATATACAACAAAGGGATGTCGAACCGTATTTTAGTTAATGTATTAAAGTATTTACCACGCGTTTCTTTATTTTGCAGTATATCCGAAAATTAGCTTGTAATTCAGAAGAGAACTGAGTGATCACATCAAATAAAGTTGATTTCAAATACATTGTAATGTCACTTTAGTGTATTTCAGGTTTACCTGCATATTCACCCATTTTCCTATTTAGTCATTTTACTTAGGCTTTCACCTGACTTTCACAAACTGTCAGGCGCTGCCACGCTTTACACTAAATCCACAGCAAACCCTACTTGGAGATTGAACAAAGCATCGAAGTGATGTCTTGCTAAATACTAGGCTTTTGAGCTACCGCGACCCTAAACGCTTGAAGCTGACGACACGTATACGTGAGGGCATATAAAGTACAAAGTGACCAAGCCATATATTTTTCACGCAAGAATTCTTCGATTATTTTCTACTTCTACCCTGGTTCCAGGGGTTTGTCTTTTATTCTTTTGTTTACTATGTTATGAAGCCGCGAAGCTGCGAGACGCAACTTCCGTTTATCGGTCGATAACATAGTAAGCAAAAGAATTTAAAAGACAAGCCTCTAGAACCAGGGTATTCTACTTCCGGGTTTGCAACAAGAGCGCTAACATTATCGGGATTAGGCTGAATCGTCCAGGAATGTTTCGAAAATAAAGACCACGACTTTCGAGATTCAGCGCTAGAATTACAGCGGACTATAAAACCATATTTGATTATATTCTATAAATGTTCTCGATCGATCGATYAGTAGTTGTTTCAAAGTGACCCCGCTAATCAGAGTTATAAGATAGGGGAACTCCCTGTCCTCCCTCTATCTCCCAGGGTATGGTTTTTGGCCTTGCTGTCTTAAACAGGGTATACATTTCACCCGAAATTGTCTTAAACAGGCTCGACAATTTAGATAAAAGAGAGATATCTCTTTGTTCTATCTATTAATTCTGTAGGTCTATTTATAATCGCATGTCGAAATCGAGTATGGAATCCTTCATTATTTCAAAATAAACGATCTTGAACTTACTTTTGATTTTCCTGTATGCGCTGAGTGCTGATTTAACTATCCATGCTCCAAACTTTTTGTTGTGTCCCTGTTCATATCCTTCTGATCAGAGATTGAAAGGCTAAAATTCAAAAAATGGCGGGAACTGATGGACATGCGTACGCATGTCAAAACATAAAAAAGACAAGAGACTGGATCAAAGTAACCCCGCTGGTCATAATATTTGTCGGCTCATATCAAGATGGCGGACACCAGGCCAGCAAAAGTTACCCTCTCAAAAAATCTAATGGAAATGAAGGTATTAAGCAATCAAACTGTTTATTCCTTTATATCGAAACTTGGAAATATGTTCGAGAAATGATATTATAATAGTTTTATGAAAGTAGCCGATTGTGAAAATGAAATTATACCATATTTTGTTCTTGCGCTGAAGTTCATGCAAAGAAGATCGGAATCAAATTATCGAAAGGAGCTGGAAGAAGAGAGAAAACGCATGATTGACGAGTCTCACTGGGTTATCCAAAAAGCTGGAAGTGAAAGGTACATTTGATTGCGACTCATTTACAATTAGCACTTTTAACACAGGTAGCCCATCACCACTTACTTTATTATGTTGTTGGTATCCCTGTGCAAAAAGTGTTTATTTTTATTCAATGAATTAAATAATGACACTGGTGAAAAGTGCACTGCGCATGTCCAAAGCTTTCCCTCCAGTGAGCGCGGGCATCTTGAAATCTGCCTAATTTAACACAGAAAACACTACAAAAAACCTCATTAGATAAAAATAGAAACTGCATACTAAAAGAACCTATCATGAACAAAGATTGATGGAAATATGAATCTTATATATCGGTTAACAAGCTTATAAATTGTAAACTTTCACAAAAATCGTCAGGTGCTCTGTTTACAAATAAATTAGGCAGATTTCAAGACACAAGCGCTCACTGGCGGGAAATCAGTGGACGAGCGCAGTGCGTTTTTCACCAGTGTCTTAAATAATATCTTGAAATACAGAGGCCAAGTTGAGATTGAACCAAGTTACATAAAGTGTGAGCAACTTTACAGCAATGGCAGAATGTCCTTCAAGAATTTTAACCCGACAGTTGAAGTGAGTTGTTGATGTTACCGGTACTGAAAAATTTTCTTGCTGACAGGCACTTACATACTATATTCAATAATCTGTTTATTCATTTCTCATCAGAAATTATTTAAGGAAATGAAAGCACTAGATGAAGAAATGTTTAGTGAGGAACGTGAGAGAGAGACAACAGTATCAGATGAAGAAATGGCAAGAAGGTACTTTAAAATCTACTATAACCCATCCCCTTGGATACTCCATTTCTTGGCTTACCTGAACAGCATTTTGCTGTAAAATCTAATAGAAACTTTGTGGCATTTCAAACTAGATGTGCCATGTCTTGTTAATCAGGATTTTTATTGTTACATGGCATGTTTCAGTTTGAAATAGCAAAATAATGCATGAGTGAGCATGAGCATAAAATTAATGTTTTATCCTTATTAACCCAAAGCTCATGACATATTGAGTTAACATTTTCATGAAGAGAACATATGAGGTCAAACACTGCTGCTGCACTTGTTATACTATACATACACTTCAAATTTTTGTTTTGCAATTTAGATATGATACTCTAGTTGGAACAATAGGGAAAAAATTCACATCCAAGAGGAACAGATCAAGTACAGATGATTCACAAGATAGAACTACATCACCAAGCCATAAAAAGAAATTAAAAGCTGAATTTATGAAACCAAAGGACTAGTTAAAACCCTCCAAAGAAGAATTGTATCTTCTCCATGTCACCTAACTTATACAATTTTAATGTCATGATTTTTAATCAAATAATAATAATTATTTATCAATTTGTAATAGCTAGACAATTAACCAGAGCCAATGGACAGATACAATGTAAATATTATTTAAAGCAACTTTTACTTGAGAAATAACACTGCTGAACATTCACTGGCATTATTAGATATTTTGCTGACAGAATTTTTAGATTTATGTTAATGAACTTAAATCATAACAATATCACACAATAATTATGCTATTGAAGAGCATTTTATTTCAATTTCAGTACAAACCCCGGTTTTCCCAAGTTGAGTACACACACTAAATCTGTGAAACCAAACTACTACTAAATAGTGTTGATGTAGAGTATAAGAAAGAAAGGAATTAGAATAATTATTAAWTAGGACTTGCATTGTACTTTTCATGGGTCACAGATTATGTGTTTACTCTTATTCACAACATGTCAAAGAAAATAAAAATAAAGTAGAATTTCATTAATAATTTGTAAGTATAAAAGGTTTTTTTTACCAATAAATATTTTTTATCAAATGAGCATCATGGCAATAACTATCACAATAATTAAAATCTACCTAGCATGTAAAATTCCCTTTTAAACAGATAAATGATATCTAAAATGCTGGAATGTTGATTTAAAAGGATTATTTACATGAAAATGCAAATGGGAATTTTTGAATATTTCTTGAACTAAAACTTCCATCTAATGGACGGACCTAAGAAGCACCATTAAATAGGCCATTTGAACAATCTTATGATATCGTAACCATAACAACTGGATTGATAAGATCACTATCAGTTGGAATGCAATTAGTTCCAACTTTTTAACTAAATCTCCAAAAAAAATTATAATGGCTTAAAGCCTCTATCTTTTTATCGAAAGGTTTTCATAAACATGTAAACTAGTGAAAGRATCAAAGTTAGATAACGTTTGATAAACTAAAAAAAGAGAAAAAAAAAACATGCAAAGTTGAAATCATTGCTCAAGTGAAGTTCACAGGTTCATGAAAACAACTAAATGGTTACCCAATATACATGAATTGTTTAACTTCCAAGCTAACAAGAATTAGTAGTAAGTTATCTAGCTTCAGGAATACTGTTAATCCATTAACATTCTCGTGTTGTAAAGATGTAAAGACAACAACAAGGTTATTTGCATATATTTTTGAATTTCTTTGCAAAAATAACAATAACATTTAATTCGCTATTTTTCTAAAGTTTGTGATTACAATTACTAGTATTCCTGTGAATATTAAAAACCCTTTGATGCAAATGATTTTACTGTTGACTTTTTCTTTACAAGTGAACTAATGGGATTGACTGAATATGGGATACTATTCTCTACATTACTAATATTACCACACAAGGGACAAATAGACTCTCTGTTAGGAATAAATAATAGAATTTCCTTATTGCATCTCATAAGAAACCTATAAGGGACTTGAAACGTGTAATGCCCATACATTTCTTTAGTACCAAACATAATCAAAGCTCATTAAAAATTCGAAAATGAACATTATGACCATATTTGGAAAATGCGGCCATTGGATAAGAGATTAAAGGCCTGTACTGATTGCATATCTGTCAACCCTCCTGGATTATTCGGGAGTCTCCAGAATTTGAACCTTGTCTCCCGGTCTCCCAGATAAAAGTTGAAATCTCCCAGATAATCGTCAAACTTGTAAAAATGTGGTATGCATTAATGTAAGACGTACCCAAGATATGACCACTTATAATGGAAAACCTATTTTTTGAATAACGATTTTATACTTACAAGTATAAGTACATATAATTTTCTTTGTTCAATTGAAATGCAGCTTTGYATCCTGTCCATGCAGCCCCCTCTTTGTGCCGTTACGTCACAAATATTTGAATATTCCAACAACTGTCAGAGCGTTATACGTTTCAAGTGCCTTTTAGGTCTCTGATCTCATGTATATAAGGTATAACAAGGTCTACCAAACTAACATTTATCACTAGGCTAGTAGTTACTATGCTGTTCTTGATTTATCAGAGTGAACTTCATTGACCAATATAGCTGATGCAGAATGAGATTTCCTATGAGACTTTATAAACTTGTTCTTAGATTTCTTAGGAATATCTGGTGGACTTTTCTGTGCTTCTATATCCCCATTACATACAACATTTAGTTGTAATTCCTTTTCAGATTCTTCACAAGTTTTGTTGAGTTCTCTCCTTGCCCTTCGTATAACATATGACATCAAGAGAACACCAATCACAACTTGAGCAAAGAGTATAACATATCCTCCTGATTGTTCAGATACAACATCTTCTAATGATCTCAAAGTTGATCCCATATATGCATTAAGAGCTTGAGTTGGTAGAAGTCCAAGAGATGAAGTTATTACATACTTTGGTAATTTTACATTTGTCGCCTGAAAAAAATGGAAAACATGATGAATTTCAAACAAAATTATTACATGTAAAATATATACACACAAACGGCAAATAAAATGTGCAAGCAAAATAGCGCAATGATAAGTTAAAAAAATAAGAAATACTAATAAAACAGACAACAAGCTTGGCAAATAAAAATAAATTTGGAAAAGAAACAAAATAAAACATGGGAAAAAGTATCAAAAGTTGTTTGGATTTCAATCTTGCATGTGATCTAACAGGTTGGAGGTTTGTGGTTGACCTCACTTTGTGACTACCTCAATATGAAACTAGATCTCATCTATAATTTGTGTAATATTGAGTTAAAAAGTAAAGGAATTAGGTCTATATCATGCTTAAGCTGAATTTCATTCTTTCATAAATGAGGTGACATGTTTTAAAGAGACGACACATGGCTATTACATCACTTATCCTGACAATCTTGCTGAGACCTTCACATTTTATAAAAATCACAAGCCTTGGCATAAATGTATTATTGATTTGCCATTTTCAGTATTATTAATACCAGATTGATCTGTAAGTACTGTTCTATTTTCACTATAAATCAAAATAATTTTTATAACTGAATTGAATATTACTAATTAATAACTAAAATTTCTCAATCAAGAATGCTGCCAATATCCAGTTGATTATATTTCCTTTCTATAAAACATGTGACGATCACAACAGGAAAGGATTTGCATACCTCCACCAAGGGGGGATATGTTATCTATGACACTGATAAACAAAAATCACATGAAAAGCAATCAAATACAATTTATGATTTAGTCTATGTAATAAAAATTATCTTTTTTGATGAAACTGTATCTCTTGATCTGAAAAGAGTCGCAATTTGCATCAATATTATCTTTTCGGCCGTGTTGAGACGTTCCAGTCTATTAAGCACTAATATATTGAGAGAGCAATATATAGAGCATAAATAAAAACAAAATATGGAAATCTATTATTTTTAAAAACTTTTGGAAAACAACAAACACATCACAGCTCTGTAAACATAATTATATTATTGAATTCTTATTCATGATTTAGAAATATCATTGCAATGTAAAAATGCTACCAGAAACCGCACACAACTATCAGTATACCACCCAATAGTTTATAGTTCACATCTGTCATAACTGCCCTCGTGTGGTTAGTCAGGTGCACAACAGTGCAAATATGACGAAATGACTACCAAACGAAATACGAGTAATAAAATACAGTAATCTAAACTCAACACTAACACTTAATATTGAAATAATTATCTAGAATTCAGTAAAAAATGGCGCGATTTGGGCGTTTAACGAAGCACGACCAGTACATGGGGTGGTTCCGATTCATAGCTTATCTGTCTCGTACATTGTTGTAAACAAGTGGAAAGAAAATGTACAATTGTTAACTTACCGCGAATAATCCATTTTGGAGTCCAAATGGTATAGGAGTAAGACGTGTTAAGGCAATGACTTTGTAACCTCGATTGCCCTCAACGACACGTAAAACAGCTTTGAAATTCTCCGACTCCAATGTAGAACTAACCCAGTCTTTCATATATCGCCGGCAAACAATAAAAGATATTGAAACTCCACAACTTGCAGATAAAAATACAACGGCTAAGCCATAAACAAACCCGTATAGATAACCGCCTGCCACATTGAGAACGATGTAACCCCAAGTCATCGGGAATGACACAAGCGTGAACATTACAACAAAGAGCAGTACACCCTGCCATTCTTGTAGGTTCTCTATCCATCCTAACAAGTCTCTTAAATAATGTCTACATACATAGGCTAAACATAAAGCTAAAACCAGTAAGAACAGAGCAGTTCCAGATACTTGCAGACAACGAGCTTTGGTTTGTTTAGTGCTTATGACCTGGTCAAACTTAGTAGATTCACCAAGGCACTTCTCAGCACCAGAGCGAATTTGCTCAGTGCATTTCTGTCCATATTGAAACACCATAACGATACTAGATAATAAAGAAATATGGTGATACCATTTCGCAAGAATCAAAGCAATAATTGAAATACGAGCCAGAATACTTTTGTGACAACCATCATCACTCGAAATATTGATGTCAAATCTCACAAGCGCGCCAGTCATACAATGGTCAGAGGTTGTATAGAAAACTTAGCATCCTCGCCTCCAATATGGTGGATGAATGATGAGTTCCCGTCTTTGATGGAAGAAATGTGTTCTTTCTACCGTGTCATTAATGCAAAAGCTAGTTCATGAGGTGGATTTTCATAAATATTGTTCTCCTCTTTTCAGATCTCATCTCAGGTAATACCAGTAACTTTGAATTTGAATTTTTAATGGAAAAGAAAACGGGAACTCATATAGGAATCAAAACGTTCTTTCAGGCATTTCCTGTTTGCTAGCGGCGTCCCGTCTTATGTGGACATCAAGATATATAAGATCTATGGCTGGCAGGACTTTGCTTTCGCACCTCGCAGAGGCACAAAATAACAGAACTAATGAAATTGATTTAACCGAGGTAACTGAGTCGCACACAAATCAAAGAAAAAAGCAAAAACTCTTATTARATCTTGATTTATAAAGCTTATTAAAGCTTACTTCTAAAATAGTGTTGTTTAGACAGTAGCCTAGGCAGTTACGTAACTAGCATGAATTAGCTCCTGTTTCATGTTATTTGAATAAATGTGGTTTCCATAGTGATCTCAAGAGGAAATTCACATGAATGTTGCAAGTGTGCTAATAATGTGTACTGGAAAATGGTAGTTGATTAGCATACTTTTTGTCTCAGGTTTATGAAAAAACTCTAATAATAGAACAGGCTGGTTGCATTGTAGAAGGGCAAATGGTGCTATCCACTGGTTAAATCTAATAAAATCTATACAAAATCTTTTCAACTGGATAACTTTACCCACTACTCGCACAATAAGTCTCTGATAATTCTATGATCAGGTAGTAATAACCTCTTCTTTTTACAATGTTTTTCAGTGGTATTATGATGACGTTCAATCGTTCCCAAAAGATCTTTTAGAAAAGTTTATTCAAAGCGATCTTGAC